ATTAAACAATGTTGTTATTTAAAGTACGATAATACTTTGCTTAATAGCTACCTCGGAAATAAAACTGAATGAAAGGAGTGTAGAAGACAAATCTGCTAAATGCTACCTGGCAACGCGGAGACAGACGAAACTCTGTCCATTTACACACAAGTCACCGCGATATGCGGGGAGCGCCCTCTAGGGGCCGTGTAAACATTCATTTACTGCTAAACTGCGTAACGAAGGAAATGTCATATTTTAATTGGCCGAATGGAAATGAAAAATATGTTTTAGCCGGATGTTGCCAACCACTATTTATATCAAATATACATTATGTAAATACAATATACAATATTCAGGTATTATCCAAAACAGTGACGTGATTTTGTGGTTGCTGCATAATTTATTTTTTAGTCGGGCTCAGACGTACCCACCGTGATCGAAAACAGGCAAATAAGAAATCATCATTTTTTTTTCAGAAACGCGACAACAAAGACATACCGGGCACCATTGTTTTTGTGTGTGTGGGGGGTGTGTGTTTCAACTAATTGTCTAGTCCTACAATTTCTGTACGAATAACTGGCGTAATTCGGTCACATAACAATCACGCCGTTCAGGGTCTATTGCTCACAAATATTAAGAATACGGTAATTAAACAATTTTGATTATTTTTAGGATTGTGTGCTGTGCCCGACTGTGTGTGGTATTTATATCTCAATCCAAATGTCCATATGTTACGGAAAATTATTTTTCGAACACTATCACTAGGTTTTAATATTTTCCCCGTATTATCAAACTACCAACTGGCAGACAAATGCGCATGTGCAGGTCAAATATCTCCTTTTCTCTCTAAATGAAATCTTACCTATAACTGTCAATGATGCCTGTATATATGGTGGATTTGCATTGAAGAGCGCACACTGATATGTGTGTGAATCACTGACTTGAACACTTTGTATTTGTAGAAAGTATTCTCCACTAGATTGGTCTCCTACTATCTGGTAGGGATTCAATACTGATGTTCCATCTGATAACTGCATATCACTGCTATCAGGTACCACTCTAAACCATGCAGGTTGTCCACTTGATACTGTACATTTCATCACCACTGTCTCCCCTACATACGTCAATGTATCCTCAGGACCAATCAGAATATCAGGAGACTGTGCTGCTGATAATACTAAAATTATTTGGTTTCATTGTTAACATTTTATTAAATGCCATTATAGTTAATGCGTGAAGTAACGGCAACATGCCATCTTAAATTAAAGTTACGGAAAAACACACTAAAAACATTATATATTGAACTCATAGCACGGTAGTATAATAAAAATGCTACCCAGTAGTAATGTAATACTTTACTATCAATAAATCATGTCATTGAAACTTTAAATTATGTCATGATAAAATGACCACACGTCACTGCATATTGAAGTGACAGCATGATATAATTAAGGAACAAACCCCGTCCTCCAGAGATGAGTATACTCCGAGATTTGAACCAGTTTCACGGTATATACACATGGGCGATAGCGAGTGATTCATAAAATATATTTTGGGGTTGGGAAGATTGTGGTGTGCGTGGTAGTCCCTCCATTCCACGGTATATGTATTATACCATGTGAGTACGTGACTACTTTCTGATCCTCTACTTTGTTATAAACACATCTCTCATATTGTAGTACGCCAAGCTGGTTGGAAGAGAGTCGGTCACGTGAAATGGAAAAAAATCGCATTATATTATACCAACATCTTAACCTTGCAAATAACCGTCGCTCTGATTGGACGAGAGCATCTTTTTAATTGTATCACACGTATTAAAATACATCGCGGTTTGTTATGTGCAGTAGTTGGATTCATGTCAATACACAGTAGGGGTAATCTTTTTTAACAACTAATATTGTTTGATATATACATGAAGTGAAATGAAGTACAACGAGGAGTTGTTTTGTTTCAAAATGACACAAACGACGTCGACGTCAATAAATTATTGCTCTCTATGGTGGTTTAGTCGATTCTCCAAACGTAAATGTACGTATGGCACTAAATGCCGTCTATATATTTTGCTTAAATAATTATAACAATCTATCAACTTCGCCGTTAATAAGAAATAAAACGAATAAATCGCACTGCGCCGAAATACGGCAGAGAATTTGTTCCACTTTTCGATGGATCTATGATCAGTGCATGCTAGTTTCATGGTCAATTTTATTTTACCGCGGTTGCAATAAAACGTTCTGCACGGTGCTGTATAATATGTAAACATGGTGATTTATTGCAATATACAAAAAAAACACGAACAATTCACTTAAGTGGGGGTCAATATTATTGTCAATACGGATGCATACATTACACTAAAGCAGCTAAACGCACAATTTTGAATACGTAAACAAACGCAGGATGTAGGTAAATGAC